GAAAAAGCTGGGAAGTGGCTTAGGAAATGTTCCAACGTTTCGCTGTCTTTCACACATTCTTAGATCTCGAAAAGCCAACATATATCTAAAGCGTATGCAAATTCAGATAAGACCAACAAAATGTTAAATGCCAGAACATCACTTAGCCTCTCAGAAATTCTAAATTAACTCAAATGGTAAAACATTTCCCCGAAGAATATAAAGTTTCCAAGCCCTGCTAAAAACTACAAATTTCTCTACTGTTGAAAAATTCCGCAAAAAATCGGAAATATAGCGACTTTTTCTAACGGGTTTCCTTTCTATTTCAAATGAAAAAATGTTGATCGGTGGTGTAGACATCGATATATCAGATAACGACGTTTTTTCAATGAAATTCGATAGAATAATGTTCGCTGAAGTCGTTAGCAAACAAAAAAGTTTCTGTCGGGTTTGACGTCAAATATATACCCTCAGTCTATGATATTCGCTTTCTACACTTATATTTGATAGCGGAGGTCTACGGAAATAATCTGTAGGGATGTTTTTGTTATTAAACATAACATTTAGCAAAGTTGTAACAGTTAGTTTAAATACATTTGAGATTGGTATAAATATTAAGATATTTCATATTAGGACCCTGCTGGATCCAACATTCCAGGACAAATTGTCATATAGGCAGAATTTTCAAATTTAATGCAGGTTTGGTAAAAAGTCCGATGTGTAATCAAGGGCACTCCAACCGCTTTATATGAAATCTACAAGTATTTAAATTTTGACGTTTTGTGGGCCAGGTATCAGGAAGGGTTGACGACCTAGGTTTGATAAAAATATTACGATGTTCAAATTTGGATCAAATCGAATATTTCATTCGCTTGATATCGGATTTACAAATTTTCATTTCAAATTCGAACACCTAATGAGGTGTACATTTTTAAATGATTGCAAACGATATGACAAACAAATATATTTCCTCCATGTTATGGCGTATACTTCTGGAAATTATATTGACTGCCAAGAAACAAGCAACAACAACAAAAGGATTTAATATTTTTGTTATTAACATTTTTTGCAAAATATTGCATTTCCTTAGCAATGTACAATAAAGAACATACACAAACACACAACACAGTCATTGCAGTTAATGGCAATGCAACAACGAAAATTACAAATCCTAATATGGCACATTTAATTGTTCAATAAATTGGCCAACGTCAATGTGTTTCAATGTTTACCAAAAACGGCATCATTTTTATTTGGAAAAAATATTTTCAAACAAAACAGGTGAAATTAAATTTATTCCCGATATCATTGTTTGCCACCAAAAAACAATAACAAAATCTCACATTTTTATTTATTAACAATTTTCTGTATTTAGAAGGCCGGAAGCTGCATTTTGTTGATAATCATGCCCGCAAATCGTGGCAGACAGATGACGTTGAACGTCTGTGTAACTGCTAAAAACCACAAATCAATTGGAAACTATATTTTTGCATAACAAAATAAAGGTGATGGCGAAGCGGTGCGATTGTGATCGAATCTCCCTCCTAATATTACAAAGCATGCGTTTCATGTAAATGACTGCGCGTGTATGTCTGTGTGTATGAGTGGTTTGACATTTGCTATTTATTTGAAACAAAATTATGTTAAGTGTAATTTAAAGCTATTTTTTCAATCATGAACACGTGCTTATTGGTTTGTTTACGAATCGACACATTGTACGATACTCATTTCATGTGGCTCCAGGCTCATTTTACGCAAATACAACAATGTATGGATGTATGTCTAGATGCTTGACGGCCGTCGGCCGGGGTAATGCTGTTGGTCAAGGTTAGTGTTGTTAAGTCAAAACATCATTCAAGCTGCATACGTATATATGGACATATACAACTGTTGCTGGCTGTCTGTCACAACAATGGTCATAATGATGGCAGCAATGCCACCTTAAACTCCCGCACCTATATGACAGTGGTTCAGGTTGGAAGTGTTCTGTATTTTTATACCCTACACAACTATGTTGTCAGGGTATTATAGCTTTGTGCAGCCCCAAAAGTTTGTAACGCCGCGAAATATTGGTCCTAGACCCAACTTGAGGTATACCGATCGTCATATCCCGACTAGCTGAGTCGATCTAGACATGTGTGTCCGTCCGTCCGTCTGTCCATTATAATTTGTAAGCACAATACAGGCCACAGAAATTTTGCATGTAGTATGGGTTCTGGCCATTGAAGAGCCCTATTGTTTTTGGAAAAGATCGGTTAATATTTAGGGGATGAAATGGACTAAAAACTTTATTTTTGTCTGATTTTCTGGTCGCTACAGAGGCCGCAATTAAGGCCCAAACGCCGCGAATTTTTGCATGGAATTTTTGCATAGTGGATTCTCATATTCAGGCCAAAGAATTAGCATGCCTGTTTAGATAAGGATCTGTCAATATTTAGGGGGTCAAATGGACCCTGACTTTTGTGTGAAAATGTCAAAATGTGTATTGTATGGCGTATATATTTGTCCCTGAACGACCTAGACCCGAGAAGTTGATAGTATGTTCAAGAGGAGTGGTTGACCTTTAAATTGATACCAATTATATGGTCGTATGTATTCAGATGTGGGAGTTACACATAAATATTTACAGGTGCTTACGTATTCAGACATTATTTAGTAACCCAAAACCACACTAGAAGGCGGAAATATAGCGCTGATCGCTTTGATTTCTATGAGATTCCAGTTATTGTCAAGGACAACGCTTATAATTTTCGGTGATGATCAGATAATAATTTTGGGTTGAAGTGGACTTTGTGTTATTTTTTTTGGGGGGATGAGGTCGATCTATAGGCCACAATTGAAAGCCCAACATCACAACATAACCCACGGTAAAGAGAATCTGGATAAGTACAGCCCTCGTCTACTAAATATTAGTAATATTTGTTGACCTTTAGTCGGGTTTCAGGAGGGTGCAAAAAGATTTTTTTGATTTTCGTGGAAGTTGTGTCGGGTATTATATGGTCGGCCCCGTCCGACTAAACTGCTCCGCTCACTGGTTTTCTTTTTTTATTAGGAGTTTAACTGGCAAAGAAGTTCTGCACATCCACATAATTTTGTATAGTTTGTCGTACCTCCATGTGCTGTATTGTTTACATTGACTTGAAACCCCTGTTCGGAACTAACTCGCGAATATTTTCTTTTTCATTACACTCTAAGCGGATTATCACGACAAGAGTACACCAAATACAGTTTAATGAATTCAATAATGCAATGTGATATACCGTAAGATAGTGGTAGGCACTTCTTCCACCAACTGTACGATTATGACCAAACAGAGCACAACACATTTTTATGGTATCCGAATTTTTTTAATTTTCTGAACAAAAGGAATACTAATTTGTAGACACATAGGTTGGTGAATTCGACTAGAATCTTTAAAACATCGAAAATGGTGTGGGTCCTATATATGGGGGCTGAACATCCGAACTGCCTACTTATGGCTATAATGCTTTGAAACTGAGACTAGAACCTGAGAAAAGTGAGACTAGAACCCGACGGAAGTAAGACCTGAGGCTAGAACGTGAGACTAGAACCTGACGGAAGAAGACCTGAGGCTAGAACATACCGAAAATGAGTCTGGACTTTTAATTTGGGACTACGTTGAAACATTAATCTATATTCAATATTTCTGTGAAGAAGTATTTTACCTACGAAGAACCCAAAATACGAAATTACATCCACTTCGATTAAAAAATACGCTTAGGACCTCAAAACAACCTAAAATGTATCGGACGGGTGTTAATATGGGAACCATGTCAGGCATGGACATAAATTGACAAATTTCTGTGAAGAAATTAGTATACATCCGGAACTCGGAATACCAAGCCACGAGGGACCCAATACTTAAAATGGGGCGGTATCCTTATATAGAGTCTGTATTAACTAAATAACGTATACAGAAGACTGTTTGCAGCTACTTCGATAAGGAAATGTTCCTAGCGCTATCGGAATACTTAAATCTGTCGAGACCTCTATTTTCTGCAAAGAAGTTTTTTTGTACCAATTAAGATTCCTGAATTCTAAATTGCAGCCTCTTCGTCAGAAAATTTCTTAACTTAAATCGATTGGGATGTGAAAATGCTTTTGGGCACATTATCATATCACTTCAAAATGTTGAGGTACCGTTAAGACGAGTACTGTAATATACCCGGTTTCAGTACCAAACCTCCTAAGAGTAGAATCAATCAATATACAAACTTTCATACGTCTGTCCCAAACATGGCTAAATGGCCATAGCATTTTCTCCCGATCACTAATATTTATTATTCGGCGAATTTTTCAAGGTATATATACCATATACATTTTTATATTTAATTTAATTTTTGCATATCAAATCAAACCACTGTGCGTAACTATTGCGTTTTGATCTGCGGTCAACATCAATTGATTAAGAAGCGAAAAAAACACACATATATATTCATAAAATAAATAGTGAACAATTGTTGTTTTGTTTATGATCGGTTTGTCATTTGGTGGTTTTATTTGCTGTCTGTCCGTCCGTCCATTTAACCAAACATCTTCTATTCGTCTGCCAATACAAAGTGCTACATTGCGCCAGGCAAAGTATTTGCAAAGTTAACAAACATCCGTAATCTATGAAATTGTGTAGCAATGATGACTCCAATAGACGTCTCTCTCAGATACAACCAAAACAAAATCTTGTGAATGTTATTAACCCGCATAATGTTTAGGTGTTTGCAATGCGGGAACTTGAACTTTTATTTTGTTTATTTTTATTTCTTATCACCCACAAATAGCTTTTGGGATAAGATATTTAAAAATAAAGATATTAAAAATATATTAACAAAAGAAGACGACTCACTCGAACAAAAACAAAAACCCTTAAATGTCGATGGATACCAGAAAATAGTTTTTTAGTGTCTGCTTTGGTCAAAAGGTCAAAATATGAAGATACGATTTCATAATTCCATATCCACTTGTTTTTAATTTTTAATAATTTATTTTTGCTTTTATCGACTTACCTATAAATTCATTGCGTATTCGTATTCGATCTTGCAATGATGCCGCCGATATTATCACACAATTAATGAATGCCAATAGGGCGACCTGATATTCAATGTTCGTTGCTTTTTCCAATTCGTTGATGACAATTTTAAAACGGTAGCGTTCATTTTTGAGATTCTGTAAGAATTTGGGAAGAAGAAAATTAGTAAATATATATGTTAGAATTAAACTATGAATAAAACCCTCTAAAAAGAAATTCTAGAAAATTAGTGAATTTTTTAAGGAACTTCGCAAATCATTTATATTTAGAACAAGTAAAAAATATTGTTAGTCCCAATTTTCGGAATAAGTAATTCTCAAGATGATAGGTTTTTCTTCTAATTTATGTTTATTATAGTGGATTCTCACATTCTAAGCAGAACTGAAAATTATTTAAAAATTTGTTACTAAACCCTCTCAAACCCCCCTGAGAACCAAAAATACAAAATATTGAACATTGTGTGTGGTGTTATATGAATACTTTGTGTTAAAAATATTTTCTTCTGAATGAAGAAAACCAAGAGGTTTTCATATCTCTGGACATCCGAACTGAAAACCAAGAGGTTTTCTTATCTCTGGACATCCGAACTGAATACTTATTACCATATCTCATTGAAAATTGGAACCTTAGGCTAGAACATAACGGGACTGAGGTTGACCTTTAAATTGCGATCGACTTTATCCAAAGCATGGAACCTCACTTTTTATTGTTTCCAGTAGATTTTTTACGTCTGAACCAACGAAATACTAAATAAATATGTATATATATATAGGTAAATTCAGCTTTAATCTTAAAAACACCCAAAAAGGCGCGAATCCTATGTGGGCTATGCCAAAAACGTTGATATTTCAGGAGGTCTTATATTCTCTCAATATCCGACTTGCCCACTTATGGTCATATCGCTTTGAAAGTGGGACTGGAACATACCAAACAGGAGGCGGGACCTTTAAATTGGAAGTATGTCAAAGCATGAACCTATAATGAATATATAAAAACCACATGCATATATCAATTATCTAAAATAAACCTATGGCCCACACTTTTACGGAATAAACATATGGCCCAGACTTTTACGTTTTGACATTTAATGAAGGGTTTTCAGAAGTTCGACCATGGTCATGTCTCAAATATCAGGGTATGGACAGTTTTTATAGACACTTTTCTCAAGCCTCGGAGTTTTCATATTTTAATATAAATAACTTTCTCAGGTCCAGGACATGTATGAAATTCTATAGAACATTGAGATCCCAGGTGATGGATAAGTTCCCTTAGAAATGGATAGTTTTCCATAGAAATTATTCTCAGCCCACAGGGTACGTACCGAAAAATTTCTATTAAAAAAATCTCAGAATAAAATAGGTGTATAAGTTTGATACGTTCTGACTCAACTTCCCGAGCTCAGTCAATCACGTCTGCTGATTGACACCACGGGCATCTCCTCGGCAAGTTCCCTCAGCGGAGACCGTAGAGTGCAGATGCCAGTGCATAGAGTGCAGAGTGCTTGACATTTTCTCCCATTGGAATATGTAAATTTGAACTTTCTTTTCCATACACCATTAACTGCTTGGGAATTCTTGTCGTTGTTGAGATCTTAACCCCCGCTCCAACGAGTTAATACATTGATCTCCCCTATCCACCACAACACCCACGGCGAGGAGAAGAGCAAATCCCTCGCCTCAACAATAGATTTCAATAAAAAAAATTATTAGACTCCAAGATATCAAGTTGATCTTACAGAAATTGCTCTTTGGAATAAAATTAAATGAAATTTACAAACATCGGAACAAAATTTAACAATGAGTATTCTATGTAATTTTTGGTATCAATCGGACATATCTGGTCAAACTTGTAGGATCTAGAGCGACCTGAAAAATATAAAATTACCAAAAATAGGTGTCGTCTTTGGTAAGAAATAAATCTAGAAGCAAAACTATGTGAACATCGCTTTACTGGATGTACTGCTATTGCAAATTATAACGAACAGACGGACGGACACACATGTCTTTATCGAGATATGATCGGTATCCTAAAAGCTGGGTCTGGGGCCAATATTTCGCGACATTATAAACTCTTTCCGGGTTCTCTTGGGGTGAAATACGCTCTTGTAGACGTTTTTCTATGTATGTCCACGTTTTGACATAGACTTTTGACGTGTTGGTATGTAAAGAAGTACCCGCATTATAAGTCTGGAATTTAAATACTTTTTTCATTGGCATTTTTTCTTATGCCACAGGTCATGTCTCAAATATCAGGGTATGGACAGTATTTATAGAAATCAAGTTGATCGGACAAGAGGCAACTCTTTGGAATAAATTTAAATGAAATTTTGCGTTATGTTTACAAACATCGGAATCAAATTTAACAATAAGTATTCTATGTAATTTTTTGTGTCAATCGGACATACATGGTCAAACTTGTAGGATCTAGAGCGACCTGAAAATTCACAATTACCAAAAAATAGGGGTTGTCTTTGGCAAGAAACAAATCTAGAAGCAAAATTATGTGAACATCGCTTTATAACTGTGGGTGTACTTTGTTTACAAATTATAACGAACAGACGGACCGACGCACATGTCTTGATCGAGATATGATCGGTATCTAAAAGCTGGGTCTAATGCCAATATTTCGGGACATTATAAACTCTTGGGTCACACAAAGCTATAGTACCCTTACAACATAGTTGTATAGGGTATAAGAATATTTAGATCCCATTAAATATATATCCCATATCCGCCCTTTTACATCACTGAAGCTTTTATGAGAGAAACTTTTTCGACGTTTCCATAATAAATGTCATCAAAAGTGTTGATATTTGATATTTGGAATTACATTATTAATTATATAACGAGAAATAAGTTATAAGAGTGAATAAAAGAGGTATTTCAGTCTCCTTTCTAAATAAATAAATTTTTTGTCTACCGAAATTTCACCTTAAATTCTTCTATTTATGGAATGTTTCAGTAAAAAGTCTTCTATCTATTGAATATTTTTTCTTTCCTAAATTTGTCAAAGATTTCTTAAAAGATTTCTATATAAAGAAAGATTTTTTAAAAGATTGTTATAAATATATAACATAACGGTACATACCTTATAAAATTCTAATGTTTCTATGGCACGAGTATAACCATCGGCATTATATGCACATAACGCTGATAGTAATTCGAATACTTGTTTTTTAACTACGGCATTGTTGGTATCTAATGCAGTACCTAATTTCGAAATATAATCACGATTTTCGACAATGTAATCCAGGCCGATGCGTGAGTCCATAGTGGTGACGATGAAAAAAGGCTCCGCGTAGACTATGTCTAGAGCGGGCACGTTCCTTGTTGTGGGTTGTTATAGTTTGTGATGTGTTCAAAGTTCGAATAGTTAATTTTAGGGGTTTAATATCGTTTTGTATTTCTGTTCTTCTCAGTTAAGGTTCCAAATAAAATTCCTTCGATATGTATTTTTCCCAACTGCATTTAGTGTTTTAGGGGTGCCGTGTAATTGACAATTAAAACAACAACAGCCACAATGCAAGTAAGTTGGTTGGCTTTGGATGTGATTGTTTGATGCCGGCAACGACAAATGTCTAGAACGTGTTGTCATTTGTTGTAATTACTCCTTTGGAATTTTTAATTAGTTCATATGCAATAATATATGTTCTTGGTGTTGTTGCTACTGTTGTTGTAGTTGTTGTCTGCAGTGACATGACGGGTATTTGTTGCTGCGGTGCCTGTTCCCAATTCTTAAACGAAATCTGGGTGGGGTATTCTCTGTAGGTGAGGGAAAATACTGCAGTCTAGAAGGAAAAAAGAAAAACAATAACAAAAAAATTAATTTAAAGGATTTCGATACAAAAACATGTGAGTTTCAAATCAATTCCCTAGATATTAAAAAATAATCTTTAGAATTGTAATAATATTTATATTCTGTTGATGTAATTGTTGTTATTTCACTAAAACTTATTATTAATTTACAATAGATTATTGTTGTTGTTGTTTTGGTTTTTTGTTGTGATAATTACAGATGTAAAATGCTGATAGCACTGATCTTGTGTTGGCGTTGTCGACAATGCCAATGGCTTTGTGTTTATTGGCCCGCTGTTGAATTCTTAATGTGATATTCTGGTTGGTTGGTGTGTGAGCGTGTGAGTGTGTGTGCACGCCTGCTTTTTGGGGTTCGATTTTAATTAATTTATTGCCATTGAACAAGCTCGAATGCTTCGGCATTTGTGGTGTGTTTGCTTGACCGGTCATCGAACGACTGACTGGCTGATCCACACAATGCTTTTGATCTTGGCCACCAGAGACCAAATCGAGTCATTCATTATTGGGAGGTCTGGCGGCCTTTACTAGAATTTGTTGTTTTTTCTTCTTTTGGTTTTCAAGACAGCACCTTATATGTATTGTTGTGGAAAGTCGGCATTTGTTGTTATTGTTATTCATATTTTTAGTTGCTTTGACAACTTGGACAACACCAATGAGAATATCTCTCTCTCTTCTTGTGAATGGGATTTTCGTGATCATCATAAATTAATTGTTGGAATAAAAATGTTGTGTTTGGTTTTGTTTTTAGTATTTGATCTTGTTTGGCTTTATCAACAGAACACCAATTTCATTAATAGTCAATAATAATATTTATTTGTTTCATTCATAAAAAATGAAATGGGTAAGAAATAACACACACGCACGACGCACCAACAAATTCTTTGAACCGCCTCTAAAGGCCATTGTCTGGTTTATTGAAGCGTTGATAAATCTTTTCAACGTTGCTTTAATAAAATATGAACGTAGTTTTTTGAAATTCTGTTTAAAAAAGGGCGGTGAATTCGTTTTTGGTAGGCGTTCAATAAAAATCCTTTATTGAAATTCTAATATTGTTTTTTTTTAACACTTGTGTAGATTAAGAAGTTGAGATTGCACAGACCGGCGCATGTTTGGTATCTAACATGAGAAAAGGTCAAACCTTTAGAAATATCCCAATATTTTTAGAAGATTATGTGAAAATTTAAATATAAGATCGGACAATATTATTAACCTGTACACCACCCTATTGCATATATAATCGTATATGCAATAGGGCCAAAAACATCTCCATTGTATTTTGAAGGTTTGAGGTCCACAAACATCATATTGATTATGTTGGTACCTGATAAGGTAATTTGGAATGTATAATCACGAGTCAATTTTGATAGGTCCGTTGAAGTATAGGTCAAAATGGTAATCTAATTGCAAGGAAATTTGACACAACTCATCGAATTGCGTCAAAGACGAATCTTAATGAAATATTAGAAATATTATTTCGTCTGATTTCATGTAAATGGCTCACGAAATACGCCGCGTCTGTCTTATTAACACGAAATTGAGTGTAATAGCAACGGCAGTTATAATGACGAATGTTCTATTCCATTCGGCTGAGATTTAGATATAGCACTCTTATATGTTCTTATTTGTATGGTATAACAACTTGAGGCTAGAGTGGCTAGTGCTTAGTTTTATTCAAATCAGTTCAGATATATTTATAGATCCCACGTATATTTATCTTCGACTCAATATAAATGCTATCCAAGAAAAATTCTATGTCCGATTGACATGAAATTTTGTAAATAGGTTATATTTGACATATTTCCCATATAACGGTATCGTCAAGATTTTTCGTAAAGGTAAAGATTTTGAGGGGTTGTAAATTTGTGTTTCGGATTCTATGCAGAAATTTGTCAATATAGGTTCACGTATACACATAACCATATTTTTAAAGATTTTTGACGCATTTTCCAAGCAAAGAGTGAATTTCCAGATATTTTCGCGTAATTTCAAAATATCTTTTAGTATATTGATCGTCATATCTCGGCTTGCTGAGCCGATCTAGACATTTCTGTCCATTCGTCTGTCCATTTTAATTTGTAACTATTATACAGGCCACAGTTCTGGAACAATCGTCACGAAATTTTGCATGTAGTACGGGTTCTGGCCAATGAAGACCCCTATTTTTGGAAATGATCGGTTAATACATACGGGATGAAATGGACCAACAAATTTATTTTTGTCTGTTTTTCTGGTCGCTCTAGAGGCCACAGTTATGACCAGAATATCACGAAATTTTACACAGAGAAAAGGGTCTGAGCATGGAATAAGCATCGCTGCTTTTAAGAAGATCGGCCAATATTTAGCTGGTCAAGTTGACCCAGACTTTTATGTGTGCAAAATTACAAAATGTTTATTCTATGGCTCCTGAAGGATAGACTCGAGAAGTTGATAGTACATCCAAGAGGAGTGTTTGACCTTTCAATGTATGAACTCGGATGTGGGAGTTTCCTTTAATACTTACAGGTGTCTACGTATTCTGATATAGTTTAGTATTTTGTGGGGTTCCATGAGGAAGGTCATCTGATCAACTAATTCGAATGGCTGGCTTGATAATAAACGGTCAATATTGGGCGGGTCAGATGAATCAAAACTGTTTTGTGTAAAATAACAACATTTTAATATTAGGGAGTACATTTTTCTCCAGTAATACATAATTCGGAAAAGCGGCCACATTGGAGCTATTGGCCTCTAACCGGTTAAGAGAGTGCAAATATATGGGAAAAAGAAATCCATTATTAATTTTTTTTTTGCATAAATCGATTTTATCGACATTTTTGACAACCGGCCGACCTGTGCGAGGTGCATCTTTAACATAAAAATTCCTGAACGGAATCTTCGAAACCAAAATTGCACATAATTGGCTATTACAGTGTCAGAACTATAAACACCATTCACAATTTTAGCCGCTTGGTTTGCATTTTCGCCTTTGTCAAAAAAAAAAAAAAAACGAATTTTCTCTTTGTTCACTTCCATTTTTAACACCATATACATCACAACTGAATGACCAAAGAAAAACCAGCAAACAATTTTTATACCCTACACAACTATGTTGTCAGGGCATTATAGCTTTGTGCAGCCCCAAGAGTTTGTAACGCAGCGAAATATTGGGCCTAGGCCTAGATTAAAGAAAAGTCCTTGTTTTTGATGGCGGGCATGATAACTCCTCACTGGAACATCGGAATCCGATGTTCAACGGTGTTTGAAAGAGTACATGTCTGGCTCTCGTATGAACTAGGATTATTGACTTCGCTCTAAAATTAACAAAATGGCGGACCTTTGAAAAAATATTTTTGGGAAATGGCCGATTTTTGACCAAAAACCAAGTTAAAAAATAAGGAAGATCTTCACCGATTGGCTTTATCCTAGTTCATACGATAGCTATACACTCACAGAGAAACGTGTAAAAATTTGGAATCGATTGGATTATTAGTTTTTGAGTTATCGTGCCCGCCATTCGCAAAAAAATGTTTAGAGAAAAACGCGTTTAAAGTTTGAGAAGCCCTTCAGCCGTCACTTGATGCTGACACAATAAATCGGCTATATCTTCAAGTTCTTGCGATTTTCACTTGAAATTTTGTAGAGACATTCTTGAATTAGTGTAGAATCGAATTAAATCAAAAAAAAAAAAAAAAAAAAAAATTGACCCCGAGAATGGAGGGGGTCCCCTTAAGTAGATATTACGATCGGATATCTCGACTAGCTGGGTCGATCTAGACATGTGTGTCCGCCCGTTCGTCTGTCCATTATAATTTGTAAACACGATACAGGCCACAGTTATGGAGCAATCTTCACGAAATTTTGCATGTATAATGGGTTCTGGTCTATGAAGACCCCTATTGTTTTTGGTAAAGATCGGTTAATATTTAGGGGATGAAATGGACCAAAAACTTTATTTTTGTCTGATTTTCTGGTCGCTCCATAGGCCGCAATTATGGTCCAAACATTGCGAGTTTTTACAAGGAGAAGGGGATCGGGCCAAAGAATAAGCATGGCTGTTTTGATAAAGATCGGTCAATATTTAGGGGTCAAACTGACCCTGACCTTTGTATGAAAAATTACAAAATGTGTATTCTATTGCGTATATTTACTCCTGAAGGACATAGACCCGATAAATTGATATTATATCCAAGAGGAGTGGTTGACCTTTAAATATATACCATGTATATGGTAGTACGTACTTGGATGTGGAACTTACACTTAAATATTTACAGGTGCTTACGTATTCTTATATTATTTAGTAACCCATTTATAGCGCTCATCGCTTTGAAATTTCCCATGAGGATCATGATCAGATAATAATATTGGGATGAAATGGGCCGAAAATTTAATTTTTTGTGTTTTTTCGAGTCGATCTATAGGCCACAGTTGAAAGCCGATCATCACAACACAGCCCACGGTGAAGGAAATCTGAGCAAG